CTGTGTGGGCTTGTGCAAACCTGGTCTCAAACTCTTGACTCTAGCCCTTCCTTGCTGTGAGATCTTGAGCAAGTTATTCAAACTCTCAAAGCTTTAGCTCCCTTCACTGTAAACCTCCCTCCTGGGTCAGCTCCGAGAGTGGACTATGATGATGATGCAGAAAATGAACGTCTAGTGCCCAGCAGTGCTCTGGATTATGATCCAGACCCTAGGCCCCTTCTATGAACCCTCTTCTCCAGGGGCTGCCTCGCTGACCACTGGGGTCCTCTCACTGGCCTCTCTCAGGCTGGCAGGCTGTCTGAAAGTGACAGACGTGGTGTTTTTTTAATTTTTCATAATTTTTTTTTTTTTCAAAACAGAGGTCCTAGATGAGAGAACAATCAGCATGAGGGTGGAAACATGGAGCCTTGACAGGGACAACTCTCTCTCTCTCTCCTTTTAAAAAAAAATATTTAGTTACTTGGCTGTACCCGGACTTAGTTGCAGCATGTGGGATCATTTAGCTACTGCATGTGGGATCTAGTTCCCTGACCAGGGATCAAATCCGGGCCCCATGCTTTGGGAGCTGGGAGCATCAAGTCTTAGCCACTGGACCACCAGGGAAGTAACCTAGGGATAGACCTTAAATACAGGCATTATCTGGAAGACTATAGGCAGCAGTAACAGTTTTGGAGACCAGGGCTGTGTTCATGATGGGGAGAGAGAAAGGGAGAGAGCTTTGGATATTGGAGGTCAGGAGTGGTAAAAGATTTCTTTGTAAGCAGCAGCAATTTCAGGACTTACACTTCAACAGAAGGAAGGCAACAAGTGAGAAAAAGCAGAACAGAAGAGAGTGTGTTCAGTGGGAGGGGTGGGCCATGACTGGAGGTGAACAGGGGGAGCAGAGCAGAAGAGGTATGGCCTCGTTACCCCTTCCCCTCCTGCCAGAAAAGGACCACCAAACAGAGGGATTTAGGCGGTGCCTCTCCGGTGGAGTCCCCAGACCTCCAGCAGCAGGGTCACCCTCACCAGGGAAGTTGCTAGAAATATCAAGTCTCAGACCCCACACCAGTTCAGTTCAGTTCAGTCACTCAGTTGTGTCCAACTCTTTGTGACTCCATGGACTGCAGCACACCAGGCTTCCCTGTCCATTACCAACTCCTGGAACTTACTCAAACTCATGTCCATTGAGTCAGTGATGCCATCCAACTATCTCATCCTCTGTCATCCCCTTCTCCTCCCGCCTTCAATCTTTCCCAGTATCAGGGTCTTTTTAAAAGAGTTGATTCTTTGCATCATGTGGCCAAAGAATTGGAGTTTCAGCTTCAGCATCAGTCCTTCCAGTGAATATTCAGGACTGATTTCCTTTAGGATGAATTTCTTTTAGGATGTGAAGAGAAGCTCAAGACAAAGGACGAAAGGAAAGATAAACCCATTTGAATGCAGAGTTCCAGAGAATAGCAAGGCGAGATAAGAAAGCCTTCCTCAGCAATCAATGCAAAGAAATAGATGAAAACAATAGAATGGGAAAGACTAGAGATCTCTTCAAGAAAATAAGAGATACCAAGGGAACATTTCATGCAAAGATGGGAACAATAAAGGACAGAAATGGTATGGACCTAACAGAAGCAGAAGATATTAAGAAGAGATGTCAAGAATACACAAAAGAACTATACAGAAAAGATCTTCATGGCCCAGATAATCGTGATGGTGTGATGGTGAGCCAGACCCCACCCCAGGGACACAGAATCAGAATCTCCTGGGGTGGGCCCAGTGCTGGGTTTTAACAAGCCCTCCAGGTGTTGAGCACTCCAATGTAAGAATCACTGGTGAGGCCTCCGCAGAGAAGAGTTCCCTGATCCTCACTTTCTGAGAGAGACTGGTGAGAGATGAGAGGTGACAGGGCTGGCCTCCCCTTGCCCAGGGGGTTCACCTGGAGATGAAAATGTGAAACTGCTTCCTGGTGTAGCTCCACCCAACTCTCCATCTTTGCGAAAACACTGGCTCGCGTGGGGTGCCCCGAACCCATCCCCTGAAAAATGTCTCACTGCACCTGGCCTCCTGCTGTGAATTTATTGGACAGATCCCAGTCTTATCCCAGGACTCTTATCCCAGCCTTATCAGTAAAGGCAGCCCAGCTCTGTGGTGGGTGGTGGCCGAGGTCACGCCCAGTAACTGATGAGCCATCCAGGGCCCTACACCTGACCCAGGTTCTGACCCAGGGCTTAATTATCAGTTAGTCTAAACTAGCAGCCTGCAGCACAAGGGGCAGTGCCTGAGGGAGGGAGGGGTGGACGAGGCTGGAGGAAGTGATTCCCATTACTAACTAGATGTGTGCAATTCTCACCTCCTGTCTCCAGCGTCTGACCTGCCTACGGAGGTGAGTTGCGTGCCATGAGGGACTGGTGAGTGCTTGTCTTGCTGGCAGGGTGAATCTCTGCTCTAGCACTTTGTGCTGAAGCTTGAGAAAGAGAGTTGCTTTTATTCCCGGTTCTGAGGGTGGAGCAGAGAAGGGAATTGGTGATGCTGACTCTTCCTTGGACACTTTAGAAAGCCTTGTCTTATTCTTAAGATGTAATCCTTCTCATCCATGAAATCCTGTCTAAATGGCTTCACTGCCTTTAAGCTTTACCTGCACGTGGGCCTGGACTCCTACCCATCTCTCTCTGCACATCCGCATCCCCCTGGCTGGGAAGGTGTTCTGCCCTTCCACCACCCTCACGGCCAAGCCAGACCTGGGGTCCCAGTTAAAGGAGACTACTGCATGTCTTGGCAAGTTTGCTGAATTATTTAAATAAGTAATTAAGAATTGGGCTTCCCTGGTGGCTCAGTGGTGGGAAATCCGCCTGCCAGTGCAGGAGACCTGGGTTTGATCCCTGGGTGGGGAAGATCCCCTGAAGAAGGAAATGACAACCCACTCCAGTATTGTTGCCTGGAGAATCCCATGGACAGAGGAGCCAGGCGGGCTACAGTCCTTGGGGTCTTAGAGTTGGACACAACTTAGCAATTAATAATAACAAAAATTAAGAATCATGAGAACCTCAAATTTCCAGTTGGAGAAAATGACAAAGAAAGGACCTGGTTGAGGAAAAAGTCTCATGGTCCAGCAATTTTAATTTAGGTCTAAAGAGCCACAGGCATGCAAAATATATCCCAAGTTTTGCAGTGACATCCTCCTGCCATTCCTTTTTCCTACTTGCCAATTTCTATTCCTAGGGCAGCACCCTTCCTAATTTCTTAAGTCTATACAAGCATATGCAAAGGTAGGTTCTAATTTCCATTCTTTTACACCAAAGCTGTGCATTATACACATTGAATCCACTCCTTCCCCATTAACTTCCCTTGGAATTTTCCACTTCCAGACATCAGCGTCCTTGTTCTTTTTCACAGTTTTGTCATATTCCACTTCACACATATTACTGTGACTTATTTTACCACTCCCTTCTTACAGACTTTGGGTTTGTCCAGTCATTTATCACAAGCAATGCTATAATGCTTCTATTTAGACATAGATTATTTAGCTTATATTTGAGGGCAACTTGAGGATAAATTCCTGAAAGTGGAACTGCTGGGGGTTGGGTAACTACATCGTGACTGTGGTAGATAGTACCCTCCTTCCTCTGATGGGAAGGAAGGAAGGAGATGGTTGAGAGCCAGACACGGCAGAATTTGAACCTCTTCTCCGTGCTTTCTAGCTGTTTGCCTACCCACTCAGAACCTCAGGGTTTAAAACCTGTGAAATGTGGCCTGCACAGGTGTGTGGATGAAATGGGACCAGCTATGTGAAGTATTTGGTTCAGGGCCACAGGCACAGTGAGACCGCCAAGTGTCTGGAGGAGCTTCCCAAGAGCAGGCAGCCTGGGTACCCCATTGTATCTGAGAGCTGAGGACCGAGCCTGGTTTTCAAGGCATTGGTTCCAACTGGAAGATCCCCTCTTCAGCCCTGCCTGTCATCTTGTCCCTACAGCTTCTGATCTGTCCTGTCAGTGGAACACTGGGTCTCGCCTGGGACTTCTGGGGTTGGCTTTTGAGCAGCCTGAAGGAAGGCATTCAGTCTGCCTTCAATCCTCAAAGCTCTGGTCCCTGGCATAGCTCTCAAATAAACACACTATCTGCCATGTATTGAGTGTTTGCCACTGGCCTTGTATAATTCTGAGTATTCCACAATCCTGTTTGCATTCAGTTCTCAGAATTAACTCCTAGGATGGGAAAGATTAAATCCCCACCAGCCAACCTCTTCATCCTTCTGCAGCCTTGCCCAAGGCTTGTTGCATGACCGCTGAGTTCTTCCATGCTCTCCCCTCTAGAGGAGAGAGACCCCGTGATGGGTGTATGGTTTCCTGTGCCTTCATGTTTCTTTTACCCGGTGGATGAACCCTCATTTGAAAATGCTATGCAGTGGTCAAGAATCTGCCTGCCAGTGCAGGAGACGCAAGAGATGCGGGTTTGATCCCTGGGTCAGGAAGATCCTGTGGAGTAGGAAATGGCAACCTGCTCCAGTATTCTTGCCTGGAGAATCCCATGGACAGAGGAGCCTGGTGGGGTACAGTCCATGGGGTCGCAAAGAGTTGAACTCTACTGAGCACGCAAGCAGAATCGTTGCTTGACAGTGTGTCTGTGCTTAATGCCACTGACCTGATCTGCATGTTCAAATTTAAGGGTGAGTTTGATTTTAGAGGATAGGAAGTGCAGGCTGTGTGTCTAGAAGGAAAACCAAAACACACACCTGGTACTATTATAACATCTCAAAATGTCCAAGTGACATTTCACCCTCGGCACCATCGCTGCCAACATTTAGTATCAAAAGTGAGTCTGTGGCCAATTGCGAATCCTCTCCCTCAGAGGAGTGTTCTCACAGCCTTTTCAATAGACCCCAAAGATCGCATCCACATGTCAGCATCTCTTCTCTCTTTTGCTGCAGGGGATTGGGACAAATTGGGGACCGAGGGTCTGTGTGACAAACTCATTCATTCCTCAAGCCCTGGAACCAGGTGGCTCAGGCACTTCACTGACTGAAAACCATGAGTGAAGAGAAGGAAGAGGCCTCGTTCGGTGTGCTCTCGATTTATGATGAGCCTGAAAAGAGGAGGGACGTGCCAGAGAGCCCTGATGCTTCCTCCCAGCCGGAGCACCGTGCATGGTCTCAGCTGGGCGAGGTTTGCGGTCCCCTGGAGCAGCCCCTGGGCTCCCCGAGGCAGCACGGCCCAGCTTATCAAGAGATGACCTGTTCGAGTCCCCAGCAGTGGGCCCCCCAGGCCCTAGACGGATCTGAGCTGCCAGCCACTCAGATCTCCAAGGCAGAATCTGAAGATGCAGCGTAAGCCTCCCTTGAACAAGGCTGGCCTTGGGTGGTGAACTTTCTCGGGAGAGGGAGGCCCCACCCATCTCACTTCCTGTCTGTCTCCTCCCTCTCTCCTCCCTGTGTCACAGCCCCCCACCAGGAGCGGAGTTTGGTAAGTCCTAGCTGGGACGACGTGAGCAACATCGTGAGCAACAAGGGTGCAGCCTGTGGCTGGGCTTCAGAGTGGGGGTACCCTGGGATGTGAGAGCAGCCTTCTCCCTGGGTTCTGTGATGTTGTTGCTGCGAGACCCTACTTCTCTGAGCGGGTGGCCGCTGGTCTCTCCCTGTAGGTCAGCCTTGTCCTTCGCCTGGTCCCAGTGAAGAAGTCTTGTCATTCCTCAGAGCAATTGTACGTGTCTTTTTTTGTTTTAATCCTAGTATCTTTCCCTTCCCATTCCCCTCTCCCGCCTCAACAAGAAGTTAGCAGGAAGAGGGTAAGGGTGTGTGGTATGTCTGCACCCTCACTCTCTCCCCCATAGGTGGTGGGTGCATGGAGTCCCTGCTTCTCTGGACCTGGGCTTCCCTCCTTCTGTCACCAGTGTGCAGGGCCTCAGCTATCAGGGTCGCATTTGGAGTGACATCCTTAGAGGGACTCTGAGCCAGGTTCTGCTGTCATCGCTAAACTCAGGAGTGTCTGAGATATGGCCTGTTTGTCAGGGAGGCCACTCTGGGCTGGTGCAGAAGGATGTCAGTGGTCTGGGGACCCCAGTTGAGGCCATGGTCCTGCTTGGGGATCAGAGGGCAGCTGGTGGATGCAGGCTTAGGAGCTGAGTTAGAGGACGGGACAGGCTGGCCCCCATCGATGAGAGCAGGTCAAGGCTGTGACCCTTTTGTGGCCACCCCAGCCTCCCGTTCCAGATGACGTGGTGGTTAGGCAGAGGGCCCCACATAAGTCCTGGAAGGTCGGCCGACTCCGCCACGGGAAGAAAGTCTATGCAGTGGCTGTCAGTGGCTCAACTCACCATGTGTACACCTGTGGCCATGGCTACATCAGAGTGTGGGATGAGAGTGCCCTGCATGCCTGGGACCGGGCGCCCCAGGCCCAGCTCAACTTCCAGGTAAGGGGTCCTCTAGAAGGCGGGGGAGCTCGGGATGACCTCTGTCCTGACACTGAGAGCCCATGCCTCCTGGAGACCATTTGAGAATGTTGGCCCTTCCAACAGGACCGTGACAGCTGTGTCTTCACCTGCAAGCTGTTCCCCGATGAGCGGAGCCTGATCACGGGGGGTCTGTCCCAGACCCTGACACTTTGGGACTTGGCGCCCACCCCCCGTGTCAGGGCACAACTGGCCTCCACTGGCCCCGTGTGCTATTCCCTGGCGCTCTCCTCCAATGCCCAGATCTGCGTGGCTTGTTTCAAAGGATTTGTTGAAATTTGGGATTTGCAGAACCAAATCTTGATCAGGTATGACCCCAGGGGGTGGGGTGCAACGGTGAGGCTTTTGGGAAGCTTGGGCTGCTTGCCCTACCTCACTTCCTCCTCTGCAGTAGGACGAGGTGAGTCCGTGTGGAGGACACATATGGGCTGCGTATCTAGGGACTTCCTGGGCCCCAGACTTCTGAGGGTTCAACCAGTGCATGAACCTCTGAGTTGTTTTCCCACCAGGAAGCATGAAGTCCCCATATACGGATCCCAGTGTGTGGACATCACGGGCAATAAGTTCTGGACAGGAGGTGAAGACACCAAACTATATTCCTGGGACCTGAGAAGCTACCAGAGGCTGCAGCAACATGATTTACGGCATGAGGTGCCCGCATGACCACCGCGGGTCTGAGTGCGGTCCCAGGGGCCCGGGAGCTGTGGGTGCATACAGAAGTGGGGTGCGATGAATGATGGGCCTGGCCTCTTTGAGTGCTGACCCCAAACCTCCTCCCTGACAGATCCTCAGTATCACCCATGACCCCAGTGAGGAGTGGTTGTTAGTAGGCTTGAGAATGAGTGACATCGTAATCGTGCACACACACCGGAAGGAAAAGTTTAAGGCTGTCCTACAGAAATACGTCTACCATCACAATCTCAAGTTTGCCTCCTGTGGTGAGTGAGCAGGCCGGGGACACCTCTGGGTGCCCTGTTGCCTGCCAAGCTGTCTGCTCATCTGTGGACTCTGGGCCCAGCCTCCTTTCAGACTGTTTAGTTCCCCCGTCTTTGGCCCCAGAACTGGCCAGACCGAGGTCTCGGGCCACCTTCCCATTGCCTTCGCCTCTGCTTCCTCGCACCACCAGTTTTTCTCCCCTGCTGGCATGGCTAAGTTTTCTTCTTCTTATTATTATTATTATCACTTATTTATCTGGCTGTACCAGGTCTTAGTTGTGCCAGGCAAGCTCTTAGTTGCAGCATGTGGGATCTATCTAGTTCCTTGACCCGGGATTGAATCTGGGCCCCCTGCATTGGGAGTGCAGAGTCTTAGCCACTGGACTACCAGGGAAGTCTCTTTCCTCCCTCCTTTCTCTGCTTGTTCCCTCTGCTTTTCTGACTCTGTCTGTAATGGTAGCTTCCTACACGGAACCCCAGCCCAAAGACACCAGCCAAAGACAGAAGAGGAATGGAGCCGCATGTGATTGTCCTGTTGTTCGGGACTCTCCCCAGGATCCTGGGTGTGGCAGGAGGAGGGAGCAGGCTGATGAAGGAATGGTTTGGGTCATGTCTCTGAGTTTTATAGATGGGGGAAGCTGAGGCAGAGAAAGAGTGGTTCCTTCCCTGGTCTTGTCGGGAGCAGAGCTGGGCTGGAAGGCAGGCGTGGTCTCTGGCCCCTCCATCTGTCTTTTCTCTGCCAGGGAGCTATTTTATGGCCACAATGAATGAGACGATCCGCTGCATAGCTGCACCTTCTCTGCATAGACTGTTTCAGGTACTGGGTGGAGGGGTGTGCAAACCCAGGCACTGGGAACTCACAAACCCCAGACCCCAGAGATAGTTCTGGAAAGTACCTCTGAGATGGCAACCAGGGCCGTTGAGTACATCAAGGGGAATGAGGACTCGAGGTCCTGGGGACTCCTGGGCTCCACCTTGAGCTCCGAACCTAGCCTGGCTTCTGGACCAAGCCTCGGGTCTACATGGAGCCTTGAAAAGAGCCCTGTATGAAACCTGAAACACCCCGCATGTTGTTCCTGCATGGCCTCTCTTTCCCTCCAGGTAGAGGAGTCCGCACACATCCTGTGTTGTGACACTTCTTCTGACAATCGGTATCTGGTCACGGGCTCCAAGAATAGTGCCACGGTTTACCAGCTCTTGTATTGAAGGTCCCACTGGTGAAGACCCAAAGAAGGCCAGTGACCTGGGAGGGTGATCTTGGGGTGCTGGGCCACTCTGACACCTGCCACTCTCCCTGCTTCTCCTCATGGGTTGGTTATCTGTCCATTCCCCTCTTGCCCAGCACATGCCTAGCCTGCTCTCCAGGTTTTTATTATACAACTTAGGGATTTTTCCTTTGTTATTTTTCTACCACTGATTCCTGGATTTTGTAATTAATAAAAGAGAAAAGCAAAAACCAAAGTGGCTTGGGTGTGTGGTCAGTTGTTTTACACAACAAGCTCATCATGATGGATTGCTTACACCCCCTTTCAGCAAATTTCTGGGTGGGTAAGAAATTTTAGACCAGACTTAATTTTGTTTATAACTCTTTTTTGGGGGTGTCAGGGAATTCTTGGACTCTTAAGAAAGTTCAGGAAGCAATGTATGTCCATGTACAAACTTTCAGTTTGTATCAGGATGCTGGTAGACCAACAAAACTCAACTCTTGACGCAGGTTAAAACTCCAGGAGCTGATCTAACCATATCCAAGGTCTCGATTCTCATTCTGGCATTTGGTGCCAGTCAGAAGCTGCCTGTCTGTTTCAAGGCATCTTCTCATGTTGGTGGATGTGATATTTTGTGCGGCCTTCACCAAACTGAAAAAGACCCAACTCTGAATCAAGCCATATAGGCCTGCTTTCCTCCAGCCTCTGCTTGGAGTTGGCATGGCTGAGACAGCTAGTAGCCTACTAAAGTTTGTAGCTTAGAATTAACCTGGAAGAGGCACGAAGCCTGGGACCAACTCTGCCATCCTTTGCATCGAGATACTGTCTGGTACTGGTTCTTGCTGACAGATAACGAGTGAAGAATGTGCCTCCTTTCTGGGCCAAGACTAAAGGAGTAGGGGGATGTCTCCTCCAGGCTCTCTGTCTCCTTCTACCAGCTCCAGGCAAGTGATGTGAAGGTCCAAGGGGATTGCAAAACAATGAGACGAAATCATCCTGTGTCCCCAAATCAAATATGGAGAAAAGCTTCCCCCTTTGGAATATTTCAGGGGAGAGAAATAAACTTTTATTTAAATTGTTATACATGTTGAAGTGTCACTATAACCCTGGAAATAACAAACGTTTACTTAAAGGGCCAGATAGCAAGCAAATATTTTAGGCCTTGTTGCAAATGCTCACTCTGTTGTAGCACAAAAGTTGCCATATGTGAACGTGACTGTGTGCCAATAAAACTTTGTTTATAAAAATAAGCAGTGGGTCACATTTGGTCTGCTGGCTGTAGTTTGCTGACTCCTGCTATGGCCATTGTGCCTCTCAATAATATATTTATTTAGCTTCCATGGAAAAATATACAGAGAGTAGGCTCCAACAGTAGTCCTGTCCTGGGCTATAGTAACAATAAGACTCCCAAGTGTCTATATGTTTTTTACACAGTATTTTTAGAAGGTAGGGAATTCTAAAGATCAAATTCACAAGGTGGTAATTTCTGGAAACTAAAGTAGAGAAACTGGATCATAAAAGGATAAAAAGGACAGATTCAACTCTATCTGCATTGTTTATTTCTTCAAGGTAATGTTTGTCAAAAAAGAGTTGGCTTCAAGAAAAACCATTAACAAAGTGAAGACAGCTCACAGAAGGGGTGAATACCTTGGTGAAGATGTTTCTGGTATGGGATTTATATCCAAAATGTATAAAGAATTCTTAAAACTCAACAGCAAAAGACAAAACGATCCCCCAAAAGGGCAGAAGATCTGAATATCTGTTTCTATAAAGAAGGTATACAGATGGCAATAAGCACAGGAATAAGCTCAATGTTATCAGAGAAACACAAACCAAACCCACAGTGCAAAGGAATGTTGCATGAGTAGGATGGCTAGAATAAAGGGGACAGACAATAACAAATGTTGCTGAGGCTATGGAGAAACTGGAACCCCCATAACTTGCTGGTGGGATTGTATTAATAGAACACATTGCAGCCACTTTGAAAAAGAGTTTGGTAGCTTTTTAAAATGCTAAAGGTAGAGTTATCATATGATTCAGCAATTCAACGCCTAGATGTATACCCAAGAAAACTGAAAAAAAGGCATGTAAGTTGGGAGAGTAAGACTTTGAAAAGATAAAATAAGAGAACTGTACTTTTTCTTCTTTTGTGGAAAGAAGGTAAAGTCCAAGTTAAGAGTAGTCACGATAAGTCAAAGAGTAGTGTAATTTCAAGGCTAATTACTAAAAGAATACTAAAGAAGGGTACAGCTTCCAAGTTAATAGAGGAAAACTACTGGAATAATAGAATATAATAATATTAATAAGTTATTTATATTTATAATATATTATTAACTCAGTACATTGTTTAATTTGATGTTAATCTAAATAAAATTATGTAATAATGACAAACAGAAGACGTGACTAAATACTGAGCCATAAAGTTCAGAGTGTTTAATTCTTACAGAAAATATCCTAAGACCATAATGCAATTAAGATAGAAATAAACAATAAAAAGGAAACTAGAAATTTCTTTGTTTTGGAAATTAAGAAATATATGTCTAAATAATTAGTGGAGGCTAAATCACAAAGAAACTGGAAGCTATTGTTAACTGAATAATCAAAAATTGAAGGATTTTTTTAAAAAAAAATTAAAAAGAATGGAAGGATTTAGCTAAACCTATAGTTAAAGTTTGGCCATTCCTAGGTCATCAATGCCAGGCATCACCTTGCTTTCCGGGGCCACGTGGAAGACTTGCACTGACAGCAGAAACTGAAAACTGGGTCTGGACCAGAGAAAGGATACAGCCTCCGGAGGCAGCAGAGAAAATGTGGAGACTCGGCCTTGATCAGAGTAGAGGAAGGTGGTCGTGTTAAGCTGCTACGTGGTGTCTGACTTTTTGCAGCCCCATGGACTGGGGCCAGTTAGGCTCCTCTGTTCGTGGGATTCCCCAGGCAAGAATACTGAAGTGGGTGACATTTTCTTCTCCAAGGGATCTTCTCCACCAGGGGTTGGACCCGCGTCTCCCGCGTTCCAGGTGGATTATTTACCGCTGAGCCATTGGAGAGCACACGGAGGAAGTGGGGAAGGAAGTCAGAAGTGGTTTGGGAAACATTTTTCAGAGATGTTGCGAGACGAATTTAATCACTCAGCAGTGCTGTATCCATTTCCCCGCAGGAAGATGGGACAATGATCGACCCTCTGGCTGTGGCTTGTGGTTGAACGGGCTCTCTGTGGACCTAGGCATTTACTCGGTGGGGATCCGCACTCGGTGCTGGGTCCGCAGGGCCTCTGTAAACATTATCCTGGAAAGCAGATTATTTCCTGTGAATGGCAGCAAAATGCCATGCCCTCTCTGAGGCTCGAACTCAGGACCTTCAGATTATGAGACTGACGCGCTGCCCACTGCGCTAAGAAGGCTGACAAACAAGAGTTCTTCTTTATCACTAAAGGGAAAGTACCTGCAGCCGCTTCTTTTGGCCTAACCGCCTCACAAGGGTTGGTGTTTGCCGGCAGAGCGCCGGTGGGTCCCGGGACAGCTGGGGCAGGACGGCTCCTCACCCGGGAGAGGAGAGGAGCAGTCTTGCGGCGGGAGGGAGTCCCGCGCCTGCCTGGAGCTCAGAGGGTCGGGAGAGGAGGTGGGTTCGTGCAGCCGCGCTCGCCGGGGGTGGAAGGGCGCGCGCGGCCGATGGGGTTCTGCGGGGTGAGCAGGCGTAGGCGGGGCAGGACACGCGAGGGTCCCGCGCGAGCACAGGCTCCGAGGGAAACCGGAGAGCAGGCGCCTGGCTTTGGCGGGAGGACCGCCGGCGGGGATGCGCCGTGCACGGAGGCGGGAGGCGCTGGGGCGTCCTCCCAGACGGCCACTGTCGCCGGAGCGCTCGGGGCGTGAGCTCGGGCTTGTGTTGCTGACAAACGGCGGGTGTCCGGCTGGACGAAGACTGTAGATGGGTATCGGGGGGCGTCCCTGAAGGGTGGGAAGGGACCTGGGGGCGAGGGCAGGCGGGTGGGAGGAGAAGAGAGGCGTTTGGAAGAAGCTGGGGTGTGAACTCTCCAGGCCCTGAGCCGGCCTTAGGAGTGGGGGTGAGTTAGAAGGAGGAGAAGGAAGATTCCAGAAGACTCTTGGATGTGAATTCAGTTGGAAAAACGGAGGGAGAAACCATGATTGCCTTGGACTTGCCATCTTACTCGTTTATTCAACCTTGTGGTTCTGCTTTCTCCTTCAAATCATTTTGTGTCCTTATTACATATAGAGCATTGCATTTTGGAGAGCAGAAGAGCAGCAGCGATCCCTCTAGGCAGGGTTTAAAATGTTATTGTTACAAGAAGGCAGGGTGGATGGATGAATGAGTGGATAGGCAGAACACAGAACATATAAGTCAGAAAGCATTCCTTCCTTACTTCTTCACCGGAATTTCTGCCGCCGATGCCCAGAAGGCATGACTACAGAGGAATCACTACCCCATCCCATTTATCCAACAATTATTACGAGGTAAGATTACTACCTTGGGCTGGGCGGCTTATTCTTTCTCTCAGCCCTTGTGGAATTATTGTTTTCACCAGGGAACAGTGTATTTCCATATCTGGTGGGTCTAGCCCCTTGCCCTGGCCGCTTTCAGGTCCTTGGTGCACAGCTGAACGCAGGTTTCAGGTCATCTCTTGGACAGCCGTTCACACTGGTTCCCTCTTGCTGCTCTGATTTCCCAGGGCGCTTAAATGACTGTATTGCATCCTGTGGCTCCAGGCTGTTCTCAGTTGTTCCCTATGTGTCTCCTCCCTTGACTGGGTGCTCTGTAATGCAGGGACAGAATCTGAGTCACCCCTGGGAACACCACATTCAGAAGGATGGTTGAGGTTCTGGACCCCACCCCCAAGCCCCTCTCGACTGCCACCTCCTGCCTAGACTCAGTGAGCCTGTTTAGTGAACGAAGAGTTCACACGGCCGGGAGTCAGGGCTTGGCATTTGTTCTCTCTCAGCTACTACCCAATCTTGACCTTGTGGCTTCCCCTCCGGGTCATTCTGCTGCTGCTGCTGCTGCTAAGTCGCTTCAGTCGTGTCCGACTCTGTGCGACCCCATAGACGGCAGCCCACCAGGCTCCTGCATCCATGGAATTTTCCAGGCAAGAGTACTGGAGTGGGGTGCCATTGCCTCCTCCGCCAGGTCATCCTGCTGCTGCTGCTGCTAAGTCACTTCAGTCGCGTCCCCATAGCCGGCAGCCCACCAGGCGCCCCCGTCCCTGGGGTTCCCCAGGCAAGAACACGGGAGTGGGTTGCCATTTCCTTCTCCAATGCGTGAAAGTGAAAAGTGAAAGTGAAGTCGCTCAGTCGTGTCTGACTCCCAGCGACCCCATGGACTGCAGCCCACCAGGCTCCTCCGTCCATAGGATTTTCCAGGCAAGAGTACTGGAGTGGGGTGCCATTCATTGCCTTCTCCACCAGGTCATCCTAGCCTGGTACAAATTCTGCCCCGAAAACAGGAAGAAACCGGCTGCGGTACAGGCAGCTCTTCCAGCGGGCCAAAGTATCCCTGAGCCCAATCCTGAATGGCTCCTCACAACATTTGGGGAAATAGTTCTCAGGGCTCTGCAGCTTGGTCTCTCAGCTGGAAAAGTTAGGCCATGCACCATCCTGCACACCCACTCGGAACCTTCCAGCCTCCCTCCCAGCCTCTGCTCCTGCCTTCCTTCCACCTACCCACACATCCTAATCTGATGTTGGTCACCCACAAAGCCCCTCTGTCCTGAACTCCTCTTGTTCGGCGGCCCAGAACCAACAGAGAATGTTTCTCTCTCCTTCACTTTCCTGTATCTTTACTCTTCCCTTGAGATGATTCCTTTACCTTTGTGGCAGAGGTTGCTCTGGAATTTTCTAAATCCTCTACAACAGATACACAGAACTAGTTTTAGTTTATTGATTGATTACCGTAGAGAGTTCTCTATAGAAAGGCCTACAAAGGACTGGGAGATCTGAGGATTTGGGGTTGAGGTTGGGAGATGTGACCAAGGGCGTGGGGGAAGGGAGGGGAGTTAGGAAGGGGGGTCTAGAGTGCCCAGTGGGATCCTGGATTGGCTCCTGAAACTTGAAAAGGACATCAATGGACAACTGCATAAATTTGAATAAAGCCTGTAGATGAGTTTATATAGCAATATTAATTTCCTGGTTTTGATCATTGCATGACAGGTTAAGTGTTAATATTTGGGGAAGCTGGGTAAAGGGTATATGGGAACTTTATTATTTCCAAACTGTAAGTCTGAAAAGTACTTTAAAAGGAAAAGTTAAAAGTTGAAAACAAGTGAATCACAGTGGAAGCCCTCAGACCTTCCTTTAGAGATTCTGATTCAGTAAATTTTGGGAATGGGCTTTGGGATTGTACTTTAAACAAACTTCCTAGGTATTTCCAGTATTCAGCTGTAAATTTTCTTGGGTCAGGTAACCATTAACATCTCTATCATTCATTAGCTCAAGAAGTATTTGAATGAATAGTCCACACACCTTAGTGTGTGAAAACAGAAATAAATGAATAAAAACAGGGCAGGTGTGCAATGCAAGGGCCAGAATGACCTGGACTGTGGGAGTGGGCAGTTTTATGTTTCTGTGTCGTGAATACATACATGTAAGTTCCAAGTTGTTAGGCTTTTTTTTAAATAGGGAACATTTGTTCCCTATGAATCAAGACACTGTTTTAACTGAATTCCCAAATTCTTTTATTCAAATATGTTATTAGTGGTTTTCTATGCTAGTTACTGTGATCAGTGTCAAGGGGACAAAAAATAAAAAGCCACAGCTCCTGCCCCCAAGGAGTTTATTGTTCATTAAGTAAGACACTCAGTTGGAACTAACTCTTATAGGGGCCAGAGTGTGGACAAAACTGAAGGGGACTTGGATTTGTCCTGAGCTTGCAGGAGGCAGGGAGCAGTTGGGCTTTTGGAATGTGGGGGAAGGAAACAATCTAAGAGGCAGTTGGGAGGCACTTCTGAGTTGAGAAGACTGTTGGGGGAATGAGAAGCCTGCTGGAAAGGGATGGTCCAGGAAAAGTTTCAGATCTTAGAGGACCTGATGAAGGAAGGATACAGTGGTGTGATTCAAAATGAGAGATCAGGGAGGGGACACTGGTTGGAGAGATAGGCAGGTCCTGTGTTGAGTGTGCTCAGGTCTTTGAGAGGCACCGGGAGACAGTCTGTCCTCCAGGATCCCACACTGGGGATGGAGACCGGCATGGCCACCCTTCTAGATAGAATGAAGTTAGGAGGTACATGGCGTGAGTTACCCAGGCTCAGGCTAGAGGAGGGGGCTGGGAACTTGGGACTGGTTAGGCTTCGGAAGAAGACAAGACATCCATGTAGATACTGGCCTTTGGAAATGTGGATCTGTTGATCAAAGAAGATGAAGGCCAAAAACAAAAAAATTGAGATTTGTCCTTATAACTGCCAGAGGAGGAGTTATTAAGGGAGAATGTGTAGCTTGAGAGTCATGGAGGAGCCACAGAGTCCTGGGCCATCTCATTAGGAGGCTGTATGAAAGTGTGGTTAAGAGAGGGGTGCTTGATCTAGTAACCCAATTCAAACCCTTATTGGGTGCATGTAAAACTCTGTCATTGAGTTTTCTCACCTTCAAATCAGGGAATGAATAGAACTGATCTCAAAGCATTATTGAAGGATTAAATGAGCTTGTGCTTTGATACGGGTGTAGTACTCAACAGATGCTAGCATTAATTAGGGGGAAGAGATCGAAGGAGTAACTCAAAGAGATAACCAAGGTGGTGCTAGCTTACTGAAGCCCTGGGAAGAACAAGGGTTAAGAAGTAGAATAGAGTCGTCATGATATGGAGCACCAGGTAGACACCAGGTGTAGAATGTGTCTTATCACAGGCAATTCTTACCTTATGAGGGAATTTCTGTTATGGTCCCCACTCTGTGATGGAACAAGCCTGAGGTCACAAGAGCATTGACTTATATTTCCTGTTCTGATCTAGACCTTGAGTCTTAAATGGCCCCTGTGTTGAAGGCTGGCCTCCCAAGGATATGGTCAGCTAGAGGAGAACTTCCAAGGCCAGGGCTGTACGAAAATGCTGGTGACCCTGAGATGAATGAGCCTCTAGTCTTGCCCTCAGCAAGCTCCCAGGGTAAGGGTTCCTATAGCCCCTTCCTCCACTGAACCATGTCCAATACATCCCAGAAGGCCTTTTCAAGGCCCAGACTTCCCTCTGGTTCCAGTACCTTCTATGGCTCCCTGTGGCCTCCAGCCCAGGATCTGAATCAACTCTACCAAGCAGTCCTCTGTCTGCTTTCAGGGTCTTGTCTATGTTCTGAGCCACTCCCCCAGTGAGTGAGTCAGTGAAAGTCGCTCAGTCATATCCGACTCTTTGTGACCCCCATGGACTATACAGTCCATGGAATTCTCGTATGGGTAGCCTTTCCCTTCTCCAGGAGATCTTCCTAACCCAGGGGTCTCCCACATTGCAGGCGGCTTCTTTATCAGGTGAGCCACAAGGGAAGCCCAAGAATACTGGAGTGGGTAGCCTATTCCTTCTCCAGGGGATCTTCCCAACCCAGGGGTCTCTTGCATTGCAGGTGGATTCTTTACCAACTGAGTTATCAGGGAAGCCCCGAGCCACTCCCCCAACCCAGCTTTATCTCTCACAGCTGCCCAACACTTACTTGGTTTCCTGGTCTTAACGAACCCCCTTCCTGACCTGTTAATACCCTTCATTCATCTTGGCCTTTTGGCCTGAAACCTGCCTCTCCCTCCACCAGCCACTGAAATCTCACCCACCCCTCTCACCAGCCCAGCCTGCAGGAAGCCTTCCCTGGCTACACTTTCGTCCACACTGATGTTTCTCTCTTCTCTGTTTTCCTAGATTTAGAGATGGTCCCACAGCGTCACTCAAGGTGAGAGGTTATATTTGGGTGATATCATGTGTCTGTGTGTTGAATTGTATATTTGGGTGGAAATTCCTTGAGCTGATGGTACTTTCGCCATCTCTGG